CGAGGCGACGCAATCCAAAATAAAAATGCTAATAAATTTATTGTTCGCTCACATTCATAATAATTATCAAAGCGAAGGAGAGAAAGAAGTAGAGAGCAACCGTCGAGTAAATATAAACACGAAAATACCCCAAACATTTTGGCAACATTTTTAATTGCTTTTTTTCACCGTGGCAAACGTAGTTTTTCACTGGAGCCCCTTTATTTCGCATCCATTTTGTTTGCCATTGTTTATTTATGGACTAGATTGCATTCAGCTAATGAGCTCTTCACGTCGCTGTTGACAATCTTGAATGATAACATTTTCCATTTGGAATGAATTACACGAGATTTATTTTCTGGTTTAACATATTTTCGAATGACTTTTTTTTGGTTAATTTTCATTAACTGTTTTTTCTTGTTCCAGTAGAAAATGTTTGTGGAAAATTAAAATTCATTCAATCTTTGAATACGTGATCACGTTTTTCCATGGGCCGTGATTAATGAATATTTCGACCAATTGATAATAATTTGCAGAATTGGAACAAAATAGCCAGAACTTCTGGCCTTGATTACCGCAGAATGTATGCGTTTCAACTTTTTTTTCATTGCACTCATAGAATGAGTAGCACGCTACCAAACCTCCCTTTATACTGCATATACACTTTGTCGAGGGGTTTCAGTTGTGGGTCGATGAGTTTGAGTGTTTTTCAACATGCGCATTTGTTGTTCGGCTTTCCGTTCGAAACTTTTTTATTATTTGAAATTTTACATAGGAAAAAAACAGCAACGACTTTGGGAAACTCGTCGCTGACGCGAAAACAACAAACCAAATCGTTGTTTGAAATTGTGAGATAACAGTTGTAAGCGTATCTGACGTGGAATTTCCTATGGTTTTTTTTCTGTGATTTCCTCAACACAGACTCTGTCAATTCTCCTTCTGAAGCGTACACTAATGATTTTGCCGTCGCCCAAATGATTTGTGCTGTTTTCGCAAGGAACGAGACATGCCGACGGCATGCATTGCTTCGCATCAGTCGAATGAAGACACTGAAATGGTGGAAGCGAATTTTCCGTGAGCCGCTAATTATTCATTGAATTCACTTTGTGACTTGTTCGACAAATGGGGAAGAACTCATAGCCCTGGAATTCAGGGGGATTTTTGGTGAAAATGCTTAACTTAGCTTGAACTTCATCTATGAAAATATAGAGGAAAAAGCAATGATAACAAATTCTTTACATTCTCTTATCAACCTTATCATTAAGAGATGCTCAGCAGGAAATTAACAGAGTATTGACGAACAAATTTCTCTGGAATAAACTGAAAAATTCGAATCAAAAATTGAAAGAAAAAAAATGGGACAAAACGAACAAAAGCCTTTTTATTAAAATAAACAGATAAAAGACTAGAAAAAAAATGTCGTTCCAATTTAGAAGTGTTTTCAATAGAATGAAAGTTTGTTTTTTCAATTTACAAAATGGAAAAAAGTCGTAGTGTTCGAGCACATGCCGAATGTCATGATGTATCATGTGCATTGAAATTGTAAAAGGGCTAAACCCTTGGCTGCGCCAAGTGGTACAAACATTAATTTCCTGAACTTTTGTTCAAACTGTCAAGTGTTAACAGAAAAAAGTGCGAGTCGATTGGAAAAAAAGTCACATTTCGTTGCAGTATTTTTCATTGTGCCGCTCGCACATCGGAACAAGGAAATCAAATAAACACCAAAATTGACATGTGAATCGATGTTCGAGAAAAAATTTCCGCATTCTATTTTCAATTGAATTTGAGTGTAAAATTTTCGAATATTGTTTTGTTCAGTGTCATTTGAACAATTGACAGATCCATCAAAACGTTTCTGTCGACGGAGGAAAAGTTAAAAATAGAGCGGGCACGCGTGATGCGCGTAAATAAATTATCAAACAATATATCATTCAAGGTGATTGAGTCGAAGAAAATGACTAAAAATTCATCGAGGAAAAAAAACGGAGCATGAAACGGTGAAGAAATCTCCCATTCCGACGGCATGTACACGTAATTATCGCAACAAATGCGAACGCGCTCGCCATGTTTTGTTCAATATTTATGATGCAGAATATAAATAAATCGAAGCAAAACAGAAACAGAAGATACAAGCAGCTAATTTAAATGCAACATAAAATCATCATCGCCACGACGAAACATAAACGATGGAAACAACGCGCGCGTTTACACACGCACGCAGTGGATCTTTAAACGATGCAGTAATGAATTGCCATTGCCAATGGGTGGTCCAATTATCGTCAAATTAAAATGTCGTTAGGCAACGACTAAATCTTAATAACAACAAACATTGTCGACTCCTGTAGTTGGCTTTTCGCTTCTTTAACGGCCCAAATGAATCCTTTTTCTCTTGCATCGAACGTTGTTTCAGTAATTACTGTCGATAAATGCATTCGATATAAGCGACCACATTAATCCGATTATAAGATTTCGCCGGAATAACTTAAACATTATGCCCTGAACGGCTACGAGTGTTGAGAGCCAGAATGAGTCAAAGTGCAGCATATATGTTTTCATAACTGGTGCAATTTGCAACCCAACTACCAAGCCCATTTGCACAACATAAAATATTAATGACGCTAATGTGCCACAAGATCACACAAGATAAAAGGTCTCCATCACTTTAGTTCAAACCCATTCAATGTCTCACAAAGCACAATTCTTTTTTGCTTGCTGTAAAGTACTGCTGTAATCAAACAATAAAGTGTTAATGTGACTAATGGAAAAAACCAAAGTTAAAAGCTTTTATGATTTTGTTCGAAGAAAATATCACTGAGTTGACCTAATTTAAAAGAAAAATGTGCATTTGTTGTTTACAAATTAATCGGAAAATCAGTTTGGTTCCGAACAAGCTATCACAACTTTTCGATCTCAGGCGCCTTTTCCATTAGATTTTTAAAAAGGAAAATAATGGATTCATAAAATTGATGGAAATTCAATCTCGATAAAACATTCTCGAATATTCGATCGCCACATCATCCAAAGGAAAAGCGGAGATACGTCAGTGAAATAAATCAGTTCGTTCTAAACCACTTACAAGATGACTTTGTTCAACCTCATCGCAGCGAAATAGCGAATTTTTCAAATTTGGCCATTTTTATTTGCCATTTATTCGTCGATGGAAACTTCAAAGTCGGCCACATCCTTTACGATTCAAATACATTCAATAATCAGCTCATTTCCGGAATTGGCTCGGTTTGCTCGCATTCCATTCCATGGTTCAGGACTGACGTCATCGCACCACATTCATTGCCTTGGAAACCGGACCAAGACACTGATCATTCTCTCCAATTGATTTTCCTCGATCCAGAGCACTTACCCAAGAATATCGATGAACTCGACCAATTATTCACATTTTATCGACTATTCGTCATCACTTCAACCAATGAAGTGGACATTTACAAGCAAGTGAACTCTATGGGCAAATTAAAACTAGCTCAGAAATCGCTCGTTTTGTTTCAACGTTTGAACACTTATTCGATCTGTGTGTATATGATGCCGAGCGATGGAACATCTGAAAACTTTAAAGAGTGCCCAAATATCGCCACTCTGTTGATCTGTACACAGAATCTGAATAGTTCAAGAATGAAGATCTATTCCAATTGACCTTCGGGAAGCTTGAGCAAGACTGGATGATAACGATTGAGCAGGCGTTTCAAATCAAAACTATCCAAAACGATAAGAAACAAAAAATATTTTGGTATGGGAACACATTTTTGGCTAATTTCTTATTAACAAATTTGAAAGCGGCTTATATCAATATGACGTACGCAAATTGCGTTGGTATTACGTGTACAGATAGTTCTAAAAAAGGGTTCAGCACATATCTCGTAGATTTTATAAAGAACTCTCAGTTCATCATTTTAATTTTTTCATTGGAAAATTTAAATCATCAAATGCTCTTTACTCTTTTAATTGGTTTCTATTCGATTTCAGGGAACGGGCGAAGAGTTCTACAAATACTCTACATTTCCATGTGAATCCGCCTCTTGTTGTAAAAGACGCGAAAATAAAGAAAATGCTCTTGTATCCATACAATTCAATGGACTTGAATGTCATTTTCTTTTAATACAATAGTATGTATAATAGTATGTCTAATTAATTAGAAATTAAGAATGAAAAGTACAGATAAACCTTAGCACTAGCAATCTGTGCCATTTTTCATAAGGCGTCTCCACTCGCATTGAGTTTGTATTGTGAATGTTAAGGTGCGTGCAACGCCCTTCAATGTGAAAAACAATACAAGTGGAGATGATACACGGAATTTATCTGTACTTTTGTATTTTCTCAGTTTTACGAATCCTTTACAGAATTTTCGATGATTTTAATGACGAGAACGATGATGATATTAAAGCGATAACCGTCGAGTAGTTGGAGATTCCATTGATAATTCTTTTTTGTTTGCAGGGATTAGCTTTAATTGCCCTTGCAACTGATCTCATCGTTTATCTTGTTTACTGGATTCGCAATCGGCGAATCGCCAATCAACAGCAGTAAATGAAGCTAGCGAATCTTTTTTTTTCATATAGCAAGTGTATCAGCTATCAAATACATATGCTTGTTATGACAACACAGCACTACAAACTGTGCTCAGCAAAGAGATTCTGAAATCAGCGCCTTTTATGAAGAACATCTTTCATTCGATGTTATATTTTGAATAAAAAACAGACGTGTGCAAGGGGGGGTATTCCGGTTTAACCCCACCTCTAGGATTCCAAAATGTGGACCCCCCCAGCGATTTGGAAAATTTGACACTAGATATAATCGATTTTCAAAAGTGAGGACCTTTTTTTTTTTAGGTCTTCACTTGTTTTTTGACACCCATAGGCAAAATTTTAGACCCCCATTGTGGAATTGTGACTGTTTTACACTAGATAGAATC